CCAAATCTATGTCTAATAATATTGATGGTGTTATTGGAGATGAGGAAATTTCTGAAATGTTCGCCACTAAGTATAATAAGCTGTATAACAGTGTTGGGTACAACATGGATGATATGATCAGACTGCAGAACAAACTTGATGCCTCCATTTCGAGCTCTTCTCACACATGCTCTTGCACCGACTCTCATAAGATCTTGGTTGATGAGGTCATCCTTGCCATAAAGCATCTAAAGGTCGGAAAAAATGACGGTAGCTATGGACACTCGGCTGACCATATTATCCATGCCCCTCATAGTTTTCATGTACATTTATCGTTAGTTTTGACAGCCCTCCTTTGTCATGGATACTGCCCATCATCACTTGCCTCATCTACAATAATATCTATTCCAAAAAATAGAAAAAAGTCATTGAATAATTCTGATAACTACCGAGGAATTGCACTCAGTAGCATTATAGGGAAAATTTTAGACTGGATTATACTACATAGAAGCAAGAATGTTTTCGTCTCCTCCGACTTACAATATGGCTTCAAACCTAAGCATTCTACTATACATTGTTCATTTGTTTTAAATGAGGTTATAAGGTATTATCACAATAAGAAATCAGATGTTTTTGTCTGTTATTTGGACGCAAGTCGGGCCTTTGACCGTTTAAATTTTATCAAGCTCTTTAAGTTACTTGTCAAAAGAGGTATATGCCCGTTAATTGCTCGCTTATTGTTAAATTTATATACCACTCAAAATGTTCAAATCCGTTGGGCTCAATGTACAACACAGCCTTTTTGTGTCTTAAATGGTATGAAGCATGGTGGAGTTCTTTCCCCAATTTTATTTAGTATATATTTTGATGAATTGTTGTCTCGATTAAGAAACAGCAAATTTGGTTGTCATGTCGGTCACGTTTATACTGGAGCTCTGGCTTATGCAGATGATGTGACGCTTGTTACGCCATCTCGTCATGCCCTGACAAAACTCTTGCAAATAGCCAATGATTATGCTCAAGAGTATGATGTAAACTTCAACCCAGAAAAGAGTAAACTTGTTTTTCTGAATCACGATAGAACCAGGAATGACGATATAAATATTGACAGAATATTGTTCAATGGAAAATATATAGAATTAGTCAAATCTGAAATTCACCTAGGTAATTTACTTGTATCACGATACAAAAGAATCTCAAGTCAATAGATGTATCAATAATTTTTTATCACGGGTCAATATAACTTTAAGTGAATTTCGATATGCCTACTCTTCTCTTAAATATAAATTGTTCAAAACTTATTGCATGCCTCTGTATGGATCCCAATTGTTAGACTATTCGCATAAGTCAATTGGTAAGCTGTATTGTTCATGTAGAAAGTGCATTCGACGATTATGGAATTTACCTCAACATGCCCACAGTAACTTATTAAATCTGATATGTTCGGATTATCCTATAAAAGTTCAGTTATTGAAACGTTTTGTTAAATTTATTCACACAGTACTTTGTAGCAAGAATCAGGCTACTTTTATATGTGGTCAGTTAGCTTTAAATGGTAGTTTGTCGTCTGCATGTAATAACTTGAATTTAATTTCATATAGATATAATATCAATAAGTACGACATAGGTAAATTGTGTGTCCAAACTATACTACAGAAACTAACATCAATCGATAATGTTGATGATGTTACTATGCAAACTGTAAGTGCAATAAATGATATGATTTTATCAAGGGATCAAACGTTTTGTAAAACGGATAAAAACAATTTAAATGAAATTATTCATCACTTGTCCACACATTAGACATTTAACTATGAGAATGTATATTTTTTGTATATTTATTACTTTTCTCATAGTTTTGTAAGTATTTGTGTATTGTGTACTCAATTTAGTACGAAATAAATATATTATTATTATAGCAGATCATGACTCATGCTGGCATTGCACAATGGCTTCTTTGGGTTGTATTCCTGATTGTTTTCAAATTTGAGTGAAGTCTGTGTCACTACAGACCCAGGACTGTACAGGACAGTGGACGCCTACGGCTAGCCCCCGGATCCATTCACTTTTTTTCTTTTGAATTGTTTGTCTGTGTTTTCCTGAGTATGATGTCTTGTCCGTGTATTTGTTTTTGTGTAAATTTTGTGTGGTGCAGTCCCCTGCACTTACTATCGAGAGTTGACTATGGTCTAGTTAATTAATGTCTAATTTATAATTTAGGTAACATATCATGCCTAGAAAGACCTGCAATTCAGGGGCGGATCCAGAGGGGGGTGGGGGGTCGAAATCAACCCCCCTGCTCAGCTACATAATTTTTTTTGTAAATCAAAACTTTTTATTAGAATAGTTTCTCGGCCATGTGCTTTATCCCTTATCGTCAGATGTGGGACAGGATGGGCACTCAAAGCACGAGATAATGATATAGACATTATGTGATATCACAATGAAATTGAATCTCAATGTCATTGCATTAATTCATAATAAAAATTGACGTCAAACGTGATGTTGAATGTCTCTGTTTAAAAAGCTCAATGTGTATGTATATACGGCAAAATGACGATAGAGACCATGCGGGAGGGAGGGAGGGGGGGATACATTGTCTCAGGGACCTGGCAAACCCCCTCCTGCAAAAATTCCTGGATCCGCCCCTGCAATTGGCAGATTTAGCTCTTGCATAAAGTATGCTTTACTTTAGCCCATATAGTGTCCACAAGTAATTGTGGACGCCAGACTGCCGGAGAGAGGTGACGATAACATACAACCATATTTCAATGTGGGAGTATAAAAGTGAATCATTTTGACTTAGTCAAAATTAATTCGGTCAAACCGTCTATAACTGGTTTGTGTTACCAGTTTCTATTTATTGGAAGTTGTGGACGCCAGACCGCCGGAGAGAGGTGACGATAACATACAACCATATTTCAATGTGGGAGTATAAAAGTGAATCATTTTGACTTAGTCAAAATTAATTCGGTCAAACCGTCTATAACTGGTTTGTGTTACCAGTTTCTATTTATTGGAAGTTTCTCACATGGAAAAGTGGGTGTATAAATACACTATCCTGCAAACAGGGGCGTAAATGTGGGGGGGGTGAGGGGGGGTGTACCACCCCCCCAGGAAGAAAAATAGTCGGTCGCAAAATCAGTGCAGTCGGTCGCAAAATAAGAGCAGTCGCTATCAAAATAAGTGCTAACTGCCTACGTCACGCTACTCACAAAAAACTTTAGAATAAAATAACCTTATCAACTTATCATGTTTGAAAAAATGTTGTGTTTTACTCTTATTCTGTTGTGAGTATGTTGGTCTAAGAACAAAATTTCCCCAGAGAGGAAAATAGTCGTTCTCAAAATAAGTGCAGTCATTTCAGTTGGTCTCAAAATTATGCATCGGCGACTTAATGAATTAATGCGGTAAACAAACAATGCCAGAATAGATCCCAAATACTAAGTATTTGCGTGAATCCGTGAGCCTAAATTGCATAAATCACACAAAACTATAGTATGAAATAACCATGTCTGCTTGTCATGTTTGAACAAATGTTTGTCACTCTTATTCTGTTGTGAGTATGTTCTTCTATGAAATGTTTTTCCCCATGGCAAAAAAATAGTCGGTCTCAAAAAAAGTACTCACCGCAGTCGTTCTCAGTCTAAATGAATTAATGAGGTAAACAGACAATCACAAAACAGGCCAAATTGACAGATAGGCCACAAGATTCTGTCCCATTTCTTATCCTCTCGTTAACGAGAATTTGGTTCTATTTGCCATGACATTGACTAACATTTTCAGGCCCAGTTCCGAAAAATTAAAAGCTCGGTTACATATCTAAAATTTGTTCGCGCCTGCGGCGCTCGATTCCGCTATAATATCATTCTTCTATTCCTTTGTTGTCTGATACCCTCTCAGCACTATCATATTCACGGTTATAGTGAGCTGCCCAGTTATACTGGTGTGTGGGTCGTGGGGCGTTAGACTATACAAATGTTATGTCAACTCTTGCAAAACAGGCGGAATTCACAGGGGCAATCTCGAGATTCTGTCCAATTGACTCACATTTCTGGTCCTCTTATCCACAAGACTTTCTCCCAGCAATGACCTCAAATGCTAGGATATTGACTCAATTTTTCAAAATTTTCTAAGGTTGCTCAGTGTTAAATCGACACAATCATCATATATGACATAAACTTTATATCAACTTAAATAAAACTGCTTTCCGGCGAAACAATGGTTGGCGAACAACTATATAATTATACAATACTATCTATGTTCTACTGGGACGCTTAATGTTATAGCCAGTATTTTGTTGACATTCATTGTGGGGTGGTATTCTGGGTGGCTCCCTAGATTTGGAACCGCCCCCACCCCACCCCCAGCTTCTAGATCCGCTACTGCACATGGCCCCTAGAAAACTCGCACCTGTGGTGCACGGCTCTTGGCTGCACCATTCGTACTGGGGGTATGTGCATCAGTCGGTCGCATTTTGGATAAACACCCCCCCAAACAAAATCGTTATGTACGCCCCTGCCTGCAAATACGGTACAAGTAATATATACTCTTGGTATGATGTTTGAAATAAGATACTGACTATTGGTATAATGAGTAAAGTAAGTAGTGGCGGCAAATATCACATTCTGAGATAAATATCAATCTTAAAATCTGCCCACGATGATCATTCTAATAGTTTGATATTTTGATGAATTGACAACACTATAAATAAGACACTTGTTCTTGGTACTATCTGTGACTTACTATTGGTGTAATGTCTAAAATAAGAGACTTACTACTGGCATTGTGTGTGAAATAAAAGACTTACTACTGGTATTATCATACTATACTTAGGCTGTCTATGTATAGCTAACTCTGCTAGAGAACAGACACTAAACTAGTTGACCGACGTTTTAGATTTTAGTCGATAACACTAAGTGAAATAAGAAACTTACTACTGGTATTATGTGTGAAATAAGGTACAATGTCCAAAATAAAAGAATTACAACTTGTATTATGTGTGAAATAAAAAGACTTACTACTGGTATGCAATGTAAAACCATTAACATAACCGTTTAAATGACTACTATGACCTCTAGTAGCACGACGTGGACGACTGGAACTAGGTGTCTGACTGTTATCGGGCAGATGCAGAATACGAGATGATGATGGTCCACTATCTATTGGTTCAGTCATCTGTGATTTTAACCTGTGGATGAAAAGATAGTAACTAGTTAGCTACATTGTTGTGCATTATAAAAATGTACAATAATAATAGCAAAAGCGGTTGCCATGCAAGATGCATCCACATTTTGCAAGAGATGGATAGAGAACAAGCTAAAAAAAAAAAGTGATTTTCGTACAATAGCGGATTATAATCCTGGATGTTACGGCAGGGATAGAAACTAACGCTCGCCCGGTCGCCCATGGCGAGTAAAAGTCAGTATGGGCGAATGAAATTCAAAATCAATTAGCCCGTGTGGCGACCTGATATTTTGGTAGTTGTAATAATTGATAATCTGTACTTAATGAACACTGTCATGAAACTAACTTCCGAAAATCGTCGGCATCACTATTTACGTGTTTTTAATCTTTGACTGTTCCATTTCGCCATACCGGCATGAAATATGAGCAAGCGAGCTTGCTGATTGGTTGAAATTGTATGATAACGAGGGAGGGTACGGAACAGGCTCTGTTTACACCTCGATGAATTATGAAGCGAAAGTCGATATAATTGAATAACTTTTTAGTCATCTTTCAGGTTAATTATCATAAATCGCCTAACATAATCATTGATATATATACATGAAGCAATTTAGCGAAGAACGTGGATGTTAAAAAGTTTTATAACAGCGATATATTACGGCAATGAAGACGCTCGTAAATACACGTGCTCTGCTACAAATAACTTCATCACTCGGTGACAAATTATGATATTAAATTTTAAGGACATTACATCATATTATTTTGCACATCACAACTGAATTTCTAAAACATAAATGAAATATAAATACAAATTTAAATAAATATTAAAGTATTAAATGTGCCAAAATAAATTTAAGTGCATGTATTTTGGTGTTTTTGATTATTTAATGATGAACAAAACAACAGTCTAAATCAGAATTTTTACGTCTCGTGTCAGTTTCTTACCGGGCTAGTAGAATGTTGGCTGGGCTATTAAGATCTGAAAGCTACTAGCCCAAACGGCTAGTGACCATTTCAGGTTAGTTTTTACCCCTGTTACGGTCCAATATGTGTCAATATAAAAAGGAACCAATATCTGTGGGACATAAACAACATACATTTTAAGTTTCATCAAAATCGGATAAAAATTGTGACCTCTAGAGGGTCCATAACCTTGGTATTACATCTTTTAAGACAATTTGCGAAAAATGGAGCGTCCATTTTGACAAGAAATTTTGGTATGGTTTCACAAAATTCGAACTCCACTGTAATTGTGACCTGTAGAATGTCCACAAACAAACATACATGCCAACCTGAGGAGAATGAAAATCAGAATGCCATGTATTGAGGGTAGAGCGAGGACCACAGGTCCAAGTTCGATCGGTGCGAAGCTCTGTGAGCGCTGGAGGCTTGAAGGGCGTGGCGTTTGGGGCCCGCCTAAGGGCCCCTTGAAAATTTTGCGAAATTAGCACCTATTTAAAGCAGTACCTTGTATTATTGGATAAAAACAGCTGGTGATTTAGGTCCATGCATCTGAGGTTTTTTTACCTATTACGAAAGTATGCATATATGCTTTTGGTCATTTACATGTAGGCATGACCTAAATTTGTTGTTAAGTGAAGATAATAAATTACCAATAGCTATGTGCTTAGTTGGGATCAACATTAAGTATATAAACTATGTTAGTTAAAGGGGTAGTCCCAAATAATCCAGGCCTCGAGTTAAGAAAGAAAAAATCCCAGTTAATATTTTTGGAGGCCATTTTGTTGTTTGTCTTGACCATAGAAATATAGACTAGGATAGCAATCACATGACTTTTGACGTCTGGTGACGCAACTGTCAGGCGCCATCTTGGAAGGTGTAGTCAGTGTAAACAATATGGCGGATCACTCGGAGCCCTCCACTCAACCACACACGAAAAACGATCTGTTAGTTTTCACAAGTAAGTATGAACATTTAATTAAATAGGTTAGGAAAAGCCAAATCATTCTACGCTACCCACTAGGCTACTCGTGACAAGGCCTAGTGCAATTTTACCGAGCGATCGACGTGAATCGTAAAAATTACTAATTAGTTATTTTCTAAACTCAGATTTTTAACAAATAAATCTAACAAATTGCATTACATTTTCTAATGTGGTGGTGTTTTGATTTTTGCCGCTGACTCTATACATCGAGGCCTATTGACAAATATAATATTAATATACAAATGTAAACATTATGATTATGCCGAGGTTTCGCATACCGGTACCGTCATACTCATACACAATAGCCTAGCGGTAATCCGGAAATTAGGAATAGGCCCAATGAATATCGATTATGAAGTTACGCTTAAATTTTAAATGAAGAGAGGTTGCTTTATCATATGAAGTGTAGCCTAGCAGTGGTACCAAACCAGTTTATTGTTAACTCTAGCTTTTTCTATTTTAGGCCTATTTCCTAGGCCTATACTATTTTAATTTTAATTTTTTGCTGCTATATTTTTATATCTGAAAAATATAATATTAATACACAAATGTAAACATTATGCCGAGGTTTCACAATTCACATACCGGTACCGTCATACTTCTACACAATAGCCTAGCGGTAATCCGGAAATTAGGAATAGGCCAATGAATATCGATTATGAAGTTAGCCTTAAATTTTAAATGAAGAGAGGTTGCTTTATCATATGAAGTGTAGCCTAGCAGTGGTACCGGTACTAAACGAGTCTATTGTTAACTCTAGCTTTTTCTATTTAAGGCCTATTTCCTAGGCCTATACTATTTTAATTTTAATCTAGGCCTATCTATACTATTTTAATTTTTTGCCGCTAACTCTATACATCTAGGCCTATTGACAAATATAATATTAATGTAAACATTATGCCGAGGTTTCACATACCAGTACAGTCATACTCATACACAATAGCCTAGCTGTAATCCGGAAATTAGGAATAGGCCCAATCTTACGCTTAAATTTTAAATGAAGAGAGGTTGCTTTATCATATGAAGTGTAGCCTAGCAGTGGTACTAAACGAGTGTATTAATAACTCTAGCTTTTTCTATTCATTTTAGGCCTAGATCTACTGGGCCTAGGCCTATACTATTTTAATTTTAAGTAAACCTTTTCTTCTTTTTTTTAATATATATATATATATATATAAAGAAAACAAACTTGACAGATTAATCTATATAGATATGTACACAACTTCTACTTTTATTTAATAAAAGAATTGTGGGTGTCGCATCCCTTTAATTGTCGCAATCAATAATTTTACTCCTGTTTGGATAATCGCGCACACGTTTTTTCTCGCATGCATATTCGAGACAATAACTATAGATAACAACGTGATCTCTTGACAGCCCAAAGATTAAAAATTAAAAACTTGAATTATGTAAGTTTTGACAACTTTTTAACTATTTCCAAGACTTTGGGAAAGCAATGTTTGTAAGTACATGTAATCATATTTCCTGATTTCTTGAACATGTCATGACGTGGTATTTGTTTAATTATTTCATAATTCGTAATATTTACCCCCCCCACCCTTCCAATGAATTAGATCAGACATCGTTCACATAAGTTTTTGTTTATATTTTGTAGAAAACCACTGGTCAGTCTATGACACCTCAGACATAATTTTTATTCAGAAAAAAGACTGAGTGCGTAGCCACTGCAGTTTTTAACATTTCCCGAATTAATTCGACAACCAAATCATCCAGTCAGTTGTATTCTACAGCCCGGTGCGTGACACAACAAATTTAAAATGGAAGAACCGACAGACTGACAGCACTACACACCACCAGGAATACTCTCTCCATCGAAAATGTCAGAAGTAGATGTTCACAAATTGGCAAGGGCGACCTTCTCGTCTATTGTACAGAACATTGACAAATTCCTTACAGAGATAGAAACTCGTTTGAATACTTTAAAATTTCGACACCCAGCATCAATTGTAGATCTTGAAGAACCTACTAGAGAATCAGTGATACCGATTCCGATAACGGTAACTAAATGCTGTCAAGAGCACACATCCCCTTTTTAAAGGAAGAAGTTTCATCATCGATTGGTCAATTAATGGCTAGAGCGACTCTTCCACCCCTCAAGCCTATTGTGTTTAAAGGTGACCGCCTACAATTCCAGAAATGCCGAAGCAGTTTCAAGATTTGTTTCGAAAAAAGGACCAGTGACCCGGAAGAACTTTTAAGTTATCTAGCCGATTACACGTCTGGTGATACCTGCCGGCTAATATAAAGCAACTGTCATATCCCTTCTGCGAAGAATAACTTCTCAAAAGCCATGAGAAAACTTGACGAAGAATACGGTAATCCCATTGCAATTTGTGAAACCTACATCAAAAAATTGGAATAATGGGAGAAGATAAAACCTAACGATGCAAAGTCTCTACAAGAGTTTGCGAACTTTTATGAAAATTGCCCTGAGTCACTGAAAGGTTTTGGATATACATGTACTGGCCATGGACTGAAACTTCAGAGAAGAAATTCAACGACTCACGCAGAGTAAAGAATATGGAACCTGCATTCGACATGTTGTTATAACAGGTACGTGTAACTAAAAGTTTGTTTGTTATTACATACTATGTGTAACTAAAAGTCTGTTGTTATTACATGCATGTGTAAGTTATTGTAAAAGTTTATTGTTATTACATACCATGTGTAATTAAAAGTCTGTTGTTATTACACGTATGTGTAATTAAAAGTATATTGTTATTACATACTATTTGTAACTAAAAGTCTGTTGTTATTACACGTATGTGTAACTAAAAGTATATTGTTATTACATACTATGTCAATGTGTAACTAAAAGTCTGTTGTTATTACACGTATGTGTAACTAAAGCTTTATTGTTATTACATACTATGGGTAACCAAAAGTCTGTTGTTATTACACGTACCATGTGTAACTAAATGACAATCGAGTTTACAGTGTTTTTAAAATGAGATTTTTTGACTGTAATTGTCGGCATATCCTCTTTATAGCAAGAACTGCCAACTCTTTATCAAATCTCCTATAATGTATCTTTAAGTTACAACTTGAATTATGGTATATTGTTGAAAATGAACCATTGTATTTCTTGACTATGTTATTAGTTGATTGTGAACCATATCTGGGATTTCCTCCCACTGCTAATTAAGACCTCTATTATATATATATTATTGTTGAAATAAAATGTGGTTTAGAGGCTACTGTTCAGCTCCTAATGAACTTATCTTGGTCAACACAGGGATCAAACATGGAACTTCAAGCGCGCCAACATCTTACTCACTGAGCCCCCATGTTCCTTGCATCAAGCCTGTAAATTCCATAAAGATATTTCTAACCAAAACATGTATGATAGTTGTATGAGGTCCAGGGCCTATTTTAACGTACCTCGAAAAATCTGTACTTCGAAAAATTATATCTATGGTTGTGAACGGAGAAACTGCATTCATAATAATTGGGGATTGGTATCTAATCTTGTCTCACAATTTTTTTCCACTTGTGATTGTGGACACCCTACAGTCTCAATTTCTCTTTCCGATTTCGATGAAACTTAAATATTAATATGTATATCCCAAAGATCTCAGATGAGTTTGATTTAGTGCTATGATACGCTTTACTTTATGGTATAGAGATTTTGCGCCCCGTCAAATAGGTAATATGTGGCCTCAATGCAGTTTTAAATACTATAATCATAATGCTCAAGCAGTGTCACACGTTTTTGCTCAGATCTGCAACAATTATTGGCTTCCCAAACCCAGGGCCTCCCCTTTACGAAAATATGGGCAAAGCATTTAATGCATATACCTTGGGTTATGACCCCTGACTTTTACACAGAACGTCAAATATGTACTAAGTTTGTGGATCCTCCCATCATTTGTGTCCGGTTCTGCTGAAACTTCTGTGCCCATCATTCTATGAATTCTTGGGTTATGGACAAAATGTACGTGGAACAAAGTTTGTGGGCTTTCGTTTTTATATCAATAAATATATATTGAATAATTCGTAAATTGTGTTATCTTTAATAGCAAAACACTGTGGAATGCAGGCCTGGTTTTTCACGACTTCATTATCTTTTATTTATGATTAAAATTCAATTGCCGTGCGACATTTCTTTAATGCAATTGATTGCCGCAATAAAAGTGGACTTTTATATATTGAATATATAAAATAATATCGTTAATGAATGTCTTGAGTTCAAAGAATTTAAGCCTAATCTGATACAAGATTTTAATTGTAAGTATTTAACTAAACTTTTTAGAACCCAATACTCTTTCGCAACAAATTAAATTCTTCGGTAAATTCCACAAATTCTGCGCGAAATGATGGAATAACTGTACGTGCAAGATAATATAAATTGACACTAAACAATTACATTCATTAGAAATTGTAACAAAAATGTGAAAACAAAATTGCCGCACGATCATATTTCAATATAATAGGCTACACTATCATAAAGACGCAAAGAATAGAAAGCGCTTTGCACTATATAGCGCGAGTTGCAGTGTTTACTTTTCACGTCATACAACTTCCAAGGTGGCGGACTTATGACGTCGTTGTAAAAGATGTCATTGCTATTCTAGTCTATATTTCTATGGTCTTGACGACCGACACGGAAGTAGAAGTCGTAAATTATTTATACTGGGTTTTATTTATAATTGTAATTTGTTTTTTTCAAACATGGAAGACAGCTTGAAAACATTTTTTATCAAGTCAGAAGGAAATATGGCTAAGGAAGAAGCAACAATGTTACTGGCAACTAACGATAAACCCGCCGTGTACTGTACTGCGAGAATGGCTCCATGTAGCAAATAATATCCGCGAAGCAAATAATATCCGCGAAGTATGCAAATTAGGCACGGCCTATGACGAAATAACCACATGACATTTTAATCTCGATTAGTCCAGACATATTAGCTTATTCCATTTTATATTAATAATAATCGAGAAAACTGGAGACATGTTTTTGGCTATTTCCGTCGTTTTACCGCGAATTATGCAAATTAGACACGGCAAATGACGGAAATAACCGCATGACATTTTGATCTTGATTAGTCCAGACATAATAGCTTATTCCATTTTATATTAATAATAATAAGGAAAACATGACACATGTTCTCGACTATTTTCGTTGTTTTACCAACTCATACTACGATAAACAGTATCGCCACCAGATTCACAACAAACAGCCAGAATGCCGAGACAGTCGTCAATGTAAAAATAAAACGAGAGGGATTTTATCAATCAAAAAGGTCAGGAATGAAATATAATAAATTTCTTCCAATAAATTTTAAAAAACAGAATTATAAAGAGTAAAATCGGAATTCAGAATTAGACTCAGAAAATCGGAATGATTCCGACAAAATCGAAATAGTTGGCATGTATGACAAAATGTGGACTGACGCCCAGACGGAGAGGGGCGGCGAGAATATACATCAACATGAAAATTGAGGCATATAATAATGGTTATTATAAATTGCACATCAATAAATAACAACACTTTCATTTTATGAATTTATAATTTTCATAATACGACTGACCTATTACTACCACCACCTTTACCACGGTTCTGCTTCCAGTTAGCTATAATTTCCTTTGCCTTTTCTTCAAACATGGCCGACAATCGTACCGTCATGGTATAAATCTAAATATAAAATTAATCAATAATAAATAATAACTAGATCTGCAAAGCAGATATGAAAGCTTTTATATTTACAGTCTTTTCTGTTGGTTATATGAAGAATCTCAGCAACCTCTAACTAGTCTAATGAAATGGACATGGTTCATGCAGTGAACTATGTGGGAAATTTATTTTGGTCAGCAGCGCTCTGGCCTACTTTTATATCGAATGTTGCAATGATTCTTTTATGTGGATGACAATAGGGTTCTTAATGTTGCAGAGTAATGTGTACAAGGTACAGAAATTTTTGTTCGATCTGAATGACTAAACATTGTGCTGTCCATTCTGTCCAACGTGAGATTAGAATATTTTTTTGATTCCCTGGTTGTATGGACAAGGAGTAGGGTTGTCTGATCCAAGTTTTGGGTTTTTCCCCTGGTCCTCCGGTTTCCTCCCACTGCTGAAGAGACTACAGGATGCAAATTTTTGAAAGAAAATTGAACAATAAGTTAGTCCTGAAATGACCCAGTTTTGAGGAAACTCGATTTGTTTCTTTCTCTTTGTTTCAAGATGGTGGCACTTCCCGTTCAATCGGCAGACTTCATATTTTGTGTACACATCAGTACTTTCTTAGCTAGTACAGAAAAAAAACACAAGGCAATCTGACCTATATTTCGTCGATTTTTAAAAAAAAATTTGATCCTTAATTTCATCAAGGGGAGATAATTTAGAACATTTCTAATGACATCTTTCAAGTCACATCGATAAGATCTACTTACATACTAAATTTCATAAAAATCATGCAACTATTAAAGAAGTTTTCAAGTTGGTTTCAACTTCCGGTTCGAAATCACAGCGATGAATTTTCGAAATTCAGACGAAATAATTTACACAAAATAACAACATTTTAATGACTATCCTGATTTCCCATTATAATATATACTAAGCAGCAAAAGAAAGGTCAGGTCGGTATGTTACTCTGAATAGAAGCATTCCATAAAACTTGCCAAATGTTTTTATTGTATATTTGTGACCACATCTCCAACTTTACATGAGCAATAAGGCTTCTTCCCAAACACAGAATTGAACCCAGGAAATGTTCTCAAAGACGTAACCAGACTTCTGAGACATTTTCTCCATGATTTTCATATAACTCATGCTGCACGTGCTGTTCACCGGGACCAGCCCTATAAAATGCATCCCCCCCCCCCATACCTGGTTGAATCATTCACACTACAACGTCAGCAGCATGCCACGACTCACGACAGCTCAAAGGAACCAGGCACTTGGAAGACTCGATGCTGGCCACAATGCCCAAGCCGCTGCCAATTACTTCCAGGTCAATGTTCGGACCATCTACAGGTTTCAGCAACACTTTCGGGCCACCAACACCAGGGATGATTGCTCCCGAACTGGTAGACCAAGGGTTACCACAAGGCGACAAGACTGTCATGTTGTGCGACAGCACGCGCAGAATCCTTTCACACAGGCATCTAGACAGCAAGTCAGACACAGGGAACACACAGAAGACCCATCAGTACCGATACAGTGCGCCAACGTCTCAACAGAGAGAACATCCATTGCCGTAGACCTTACTGTGGACCGATCCTCACCCCTCGTCAACAACTTGAACATCTACAGTTTGACCAACAACACCAGAACTGGCGACACGGGTAAAGGAGAACTGTTCTGTTCACAGATGAGAGTTGGTATTGCGTATCAACTGCAGATGGCAGGACCAAAATATGGCGTTTCAATGTTATGTACTGGCCAGCCCTCAGTCCGGACTTAAACCTGATTGAACATATTTGGGATGAAATTCAGAGGCGACTTAATAACGTCATACCAAGACCAAACACAGCCGATGGATTGCGCCAGGCTTTTCTGAGAGTGTGGTTCCAGGTGCCAATGGCGTTCATCAATCGTCTTGTCCACTCCATGTACAAATGCTGCGCTGCTGTTATTGACACTCACGGTGGACACACCAAATAATGATGTATAGACTGTGTACAGACTCTAACCCTTCTCAGAATGTCTTGGAATTGTGATGAATTAATCACTAATGTGTCAACTATCTAGTTTGAGAATCGATCTCTGTCCTGAATGGCCACTATATCCAAAGATAGTGTACAGGTCACTATTCTATGGAACACAATACAATCCATAGAATAGTGACCTGTATACTCCAGTTCAATTACTAAATGCCATTGAAACAATTTATATCCAAAGATAGGTTGCCAGGCAATGAAACATACGCACACAACAGCTAAGTTCCTGGGTGTTCAACAATGGTTATCGCATATTTTTTCTTTTGTCAGTAAATAAAACATTTACAGCACATGAGAAACTGATTAAGAGTAACATCCCATAAAGTAATTATCAGATAACAGTGAATAGATTCTGTTGTCTCATGACCGCTAACACTGTGTAGCTGCCAGGCAGAATAAACATTTTGCAAGAGATGGATAGAGAACAAGCTAAAAACAAACGTGATTTTTTGTACAATCAGGGGCAATAATCCAGAAAGTTATATCCTGAAATGTGCAAATATCAAAAGGGACATAGATCTTTGGGATGTAAAGATATGTTTTAAGTTTCATCAAAATCGGATAAAAATTGTGACCTCTAGAGGGTCCACAACCTTCGTATTACACACTTCTACACAAATTGCGTATAAAGAGCGGCCATTTTGTTAGGCAGTTTCATTTCGATTTTCCCGAAATACGAATTTAACCTTCATTATGGTGGAATCTGCAAAGTAAAAATGCGATTTTTCGAACAATCAGGGGCCATAATCCAGGAAGTTAAGTTAAAAAACCAAGATCTGGTGATATATTCACATGTTCTTTTTTAAATCGGATAAAAATTGTGACCTCTACACGGACCACAAGCTAAAAACGTGATTTTTTGTTCAATCAAGGGCCATAATCAGGAAGTTAAGATCCGATATGCGCGAATATCGAAAGGAACCAATATCTTTGGGTTACAAACATGTATTTCAAGTTTCAGCGAAATCGGATCAAAATTGTGACCTCTAGAGGGTCCACAACCTTGATTTACCAGATGTTTACACAATTTGCGAACAAGGGGCGGCTGTTTGTCCGGCAGTTTTGGCCTGATTTTCACGGAATTCAAACTCAACAAACATTATGGTGTAACGGTGATATATTCCTCTAGAGGGACCACAAGATTTTGCGTACAATCAGAGCCATAATTCAGGAAGTTACGATCTGATATGCACGAATATTGAAAGGAACCAAGATCTTTGGGTTATAAACTTGCGTTTCAAGTTTCATCAAAATCGGATCAAAATTGTGGCCAATAGAGGGTCCACAACTTTGATTTACCAGATGTTTACACTATTTGCGTACGAGGGGCGGCCATTTTGTCCAGCAGTTTAGGTCTGATTTGCATGAAATTCGAACTCAACCATCCTTGGGGTGTAATGGTGATATATTCAAACGTTTTTTTTAAATCGGATAAAAATTGTGGCCTCTATGGAGTCCACAAACTAAAAACACGATTTTTTGTACAATCAGGGGCCATGATTTAGGAAGTTACAATCCGATATGCGCGAATATTGAAAGGAACCGAGATCTTTTGGTTATAAACATGCATTTCAAGTTTCAACAAAATCAGATGAAAATTGTGACCTCCAGAGGGTTCACAACCCTGATAAACAATATTGTGGCACTATTTGGTACGAGGGGTGGCCCTTTTGTCCGTCAGTTTCAGTCCGATTTTTACAAAATTAGAACTCAACCATCCTTAGGGTGTAACGGTGATATATTCAAACAGATTTTAAAATTGGATAAAAATTGGGAACTCTATGGGGTCCAAAAGCTAACCAGCGGCTGCCAGGCAGGATACGCCCACATTTTCAAGAGATGGATAGGGAACAAGCTAAAAAGGAAGTGATTTTTCCTACAATCAAGGGCCATAATTCAGGAAATTACAATTACAATTCGATATGCGCAAATATCGAAAGGAACCAAGATCTTTGGGTAATAAACTTACATTTCAAGTTTCAACAAAATCGGATAAAAATTATGACCTCTATAGGGTCCACAACCTTGATATACCTTGATATACCATATTTTTACACTATTTGAGAACGAAGGGCGGCCATTTTGTCTGTCAGTTCCTTAGGGTGTAATGGTGATATAATAATACGTTTTTTAAATCGGATAAAAATTATGACCTCTCTATGGTCCACAAACTAACTTGCGGCTGCCAGGCAGGATACGCCCACATTTTCGAGAGATGGATAGAGAACAAGCTAACAAGAAAGTGATTTTTCCTACAATCAAGGGCCATAATTCAGGAAATTACAATTCGATATGCGCATATATCGAAAGGAACTGAGATTTTGTGTTATAAACTTACATTTCAAGTTTCAACAAAATCGGATAAAAATTGTGACCTCTATAGGGTCCACAACCTTGATATACCATATTTTTACGCTATTTGAGAACGAACGGCAGCCATTTTGTCTGTCAATTTTGGGGCGATTTTCACAAAATTCAAACTCAACTGTCCTTAGGGTTAAACGGTAATACAATAATACGTTTTTTTAAATCGGATAAAAATTATGACCTCTAATGGGTCCACAAGCTAAAAACATGATTTTTCGTACAATCAGATGCCATAATTCAGGAAGTTACAGTCCGATATGGTCAAATATTAATAGGAACCGAGATCTTTGGGTTATAAACTTATATTTCAAGTTTTAACAAAATCGGATAAAAATTGTGACCTCTATAGGGTCCACAACCTTGATATACCATATTTTTACGCTATTTGAGAATGAACGGCGGCTATTTTGTCTGTCAATTTTGGGCCGATTTTCATGAAATTCAAACTCAGTCGTCCTTAGGGTGTAACGGTGATATAATAATACGTTTTTTTAAATCAGATAAAAATTATGACCTCTATAGGGTCCACAAGCTAAAAACGCGATTTTTCGTACAATCAGGGGCCATAATTCAGGAAATTATGGTCCGATATGCACGAATATCGAAAGG